TTTTTTAAAGCTCTTCAGTGCTTTTGGATTTTTTTTTCCTTGTAAATTTGTTGGGAAAAAGTAGTTTGAAGTGGATGTACGAGAGGAGAATAACCTCTTGAAATGATGTTTCTGACACTTCACTTCAAATTTGTCACAACTGTAAATTCTCAAAGTAGCCTTTTGCTGTCTGTCTGTTTATTTCTGATAGGATGTTCAGTGTTTCTACATTAAATGTTCAGATATTAAGATTTTCTGTGCAGTTATCATTCAGTGTTTTCCGCTTTTATAACTACAAGAAGCACCAAAATGTATGAATGTAAAATTGGTGTTTCAAAATTAAAAATTAACATGATTGAAAATTAGGACATTTTGAGACAATGATACTGTCAACCTTCTCTGGATCATCCACAGTTCAGATCTGTTGCTGTCATGGCATCATTACCAATCCAGAAAGTGTTTAATGACATATGATCATCAATTCCATGGGAATGCCCCTGAAAGGGATTTACCAATACATGCAATAAAATACAAAAAAAAAAATCAAGGGGAAAAAAAGACCTTAAAAGCATAAATAATCTTAACTAATAGCCTTAACACAAATGATACATTTTTAACAGTTCACATAATTCGTTATAGGCCACAGCACTTCCCATTACATCTCTATAACAGTTTTCAACAAACAAGCAGCTTCCAGATTGATTGCAGTCTCAACACATCTTGAAGGCATCAGAGGGAAGAGTGGAAATCATCTATTTTATAGTATTGAGGAGGAGGAGGAGGAGGAGGAGAATAAACCTAAACTATCCATAGAGGTGTAGTGCAGATATAATATTTTTGGCTCCTTTTCATAACCATAGACATCAACAGCATCCTGCAAGCTTCAACATTCAATTTATCTCCCATAATGTTAATGGAATCCAGAATTCAAACATACATGTTTAATCATGGCTATATAGTGGGTTTTTTCAGCATGAATTTTTACCATGAATATGAAGATATGGTATTAATAGGCTGTCCCCAAACTGAAAAACAGGAGAGGAGAGGGAAGTAAACCTGAACAATATTCTTCTTTTCCTGGTCAACTTATCTTATTTATTTTCTCATGAATCCTCCTCTTCAGACTTAATATTAGTTATACTTAAGATGTTTATTTTAGGCATAAAACCATATATTAACTGGAAAATTACCTTGCAGCCTCCTTTTAAAAAAATTATGTGTACATTGGACTTCTGAAATACAACATTTGAATGTGCAATTCACAGTAGCAAATTTGAGAAAACAGTCCCCATAAAATGCCTGATTTTTTTTCACAGGCATAAACAGGAAGTTTGGTAGTACTTTTTCTACCAAACATAATTTTGATACTCTTATGTTTGCTTTAAACCATTCTATGTAGGTGTTTTGCATTTGGCAACTTTTTTGGAAGCTGTCATTGCTTATGTTCACTTTGATAGATCTAAAATTGAGGTTCTTTTTTTTTTCTTTCCTTCATTAAAACTCATAAACCCAAATATTTGGGAAGGGGTCTCTGAATAATACGCCGCCTAGAGTAGCCCTGCAGTGAGATAGGCAGAAAATACATTTAACAAATAAAATAAATAATAAATAATATGCGATAATGCCTGATATAATTCACATAAGCCGTCTAAGTGGGATTCTCCCCTCCCTTCCAATTCACAGACAATTTAAGAGAGATTTTCCTCCTGCAAATATGCAATGCCATAGAACTTATTGAAGATGGAAAAATGTAGTGAGAAATTTTAAAATATACAAATATTGGAAAAATGTAGTGAGTATCATTGTGGCCTTTTGTAAGCAGTGAATATTTGTTGAAAGAAATAAACATTGTATATTGTTGTATACAAATGTTTGCTTCTGCCAACTTTGTTGTAAAAAAACAGTAAGGTACAGAGAACAGTGAATGATGTTGGTATAAACTAGATTTATCTATGCGCTTTTCTTTTCCTTTTTTCATATGACATGACTTTGATTTTTTTTTTAAGCTGCTATTTCTTATTCTCTTTCTGTTTTGTTGTTATTTGTTTTCTTTTGTTTTATTTTTACATAATGTTGCTTAGGCCATGAGAGAATAGTTTGGTATATTCAAATATAAATGTTTGTGAATAACATGACCATTTGGATAATTCTGCCATCTTCCAAAATAGCTAGTGATAACCGTTCTTGGAGACCTGAATCAAACGTTTGGCTTGATCAAGAATCAACATTCAGAATTATATAATCAGTAGATTTGTGGGGATATGAGTTACGAAGGAATGCCCTGCACTTAGCAAGCATAGCACATTTCTTTTTCTCAGCTAGGAAGTATATTTTGAAATATCATTCAAATTCAGACAAAAGAAGTTCAGCCTTTCACATACCATTTCTGTTTTGGATTTCATGAATCTGCTGATGCAACTAAACTTCAAAAAAAAAAAAAAAACCTCTGCTGCAAATATTTATTCCAAAGTAAAACTATATTAATTTAGTGGAATTTACTTCCTGGTCAGTGGGAGAGATTTTGCTCCCCAACTGATCTAGATTACTGACCGGAGAAAAAACAAGTTAGTTTCTTTGGTCACACGGATACATGAAAATATTCAGAATTCCCTATTTCTGACTTAGGCGTAGTCTTTTCTTCTGCAGAAAGTTACAATTTCTGATCAAAGAGACAAATCTGTTCTTTGACTGCTAATATAATTGCTCTCACTGGCTAAAAATATTAAACATCAGCAGGGTTTTTGCACACATGTAGTTGTGTAGTTCTTTTAGCTAAACCATCTCTGATAATGTTGTTAGGAATGAGAGAGCTGGTGCAGCAGACAACAGTAATTATGCCTCCTTGTATTAAGGATAAATTCCAGTCATTGTGAGCCAAAACATCAGAGATCTAATCACTTTTTTTGGTTTTAGTCTGTCATAGTTTGGGAGAACAGCTCAGTAATGGGGTTAGATTGTTTATTTGTTTGTTTGTCAAATTTATACAATTGCCCATCTCACATGAAATGACAACATATAATAAAATCATAAACCGATGGCCATACTTAGTTTTATTGTTACTTCCTATTTTTTCATCATTTCTTGGGAGTCAATAATGGAAGGCTGTGTTACTTTAGGTGTGGTGGGACAATTTAGTATTCAGCTGGTAGTTATCTTGAAATAAACCAGAATGATGTACTAGGCGCAGTTGTTTTGTGAGTGTGCATGTGTTTTTATTATTAACTAATGTATTTACCTGTAAAACCAAACTATAGATATAAGACAATAGTGACACAGAGGAGGACCTTTTCTAAGATAGGCTGAGGGAATTGAACCCTATACAAAAGAGCTGGGAGCTGCATTTTACCTAGCAACTGTTTCTAAGTAGGACCACCGATCACTGTTCCCATGGTGGAAGTAAAGGAGCTGAGAAGAAAGACTAATGCTAGACCTAGGATGAACAGGGAAGGGGAAAGGGCACCAAGGGCCTGCAGCTGAGAGCAAGGGAGGTTTTAGGATCAATTTGGTAGTACTTGGAATGCTTCTAGCTGGGGGGGGGATGAAGGACCTCTGAGACTCTCAGTAAGATGGTTACTAATAAGGGGAGGAGAAAACCAGTTCAAAGATAATGCAGACTTTCATGTTCAGGACAAAGATCTATTGTACCATGCAATCTTTAAAAAACAGAAACCTTAATACTTATCAAAAGTAAATATTAGCATGATATGTTTGTGGTAGTATCTAAATAAAAATAGAATCCCCAAATTCTTTCACACCCAATACAATCATGGTCTATGAAGCTGACAAGAAGTTACATGGTTGAAGATGTAACATCTGTCAATACAATACAATACAAAAATAAGGTAGGAAATGAAAGATACCTGGACAGTTCCTTGTTGCTTTAGAGGAACTTTCTGCAGTTTTAGATTTAACAAAAATTAGGCAACTGGTTGGATTCTCATTGGATCTTCCTTTGACAGATAGGTAGTACAATCTGATGTGACCAGAATGAATATTAAATTTTAGGCTGACCATATTTTCTTTTACCCCAATGCTGGATGGTCCTGTGATCCTTTAAGAAGAGTATTATCATAAATAAATAAAAATAATTGTAGTGGCAAAGGAACTTCAATAATAAATCAGTGTTTATTTACCTAAACTGATATACAGAATAACTAAGGGTGGGCACAAAAGCAGTGGGAAAGAAGTGACTTCTGACTTCCTCCCTGCTTCCCTGTTGTCTTTGCTTGTGGGAAGCTGGCAGGGAGCATCAAAAATCACAATCCTATTACCATGGGGACACCAAAATACCCACAACATTGCAAATGAATTGGTCTGAACAATTTTAATTTTAATTCTACAGTAGTAATGGGTCCCAGACTTTTTTAATGCATTCTTTAAGTTAGCGGATGTTAGATACCTCGATTCAGAAATTGTTGGGGTATAATGCTCTGTTCAAGATAATTTGAGAGTACAAACAAACAAATAAACAGATAAACATGAGTGTTACAGTTGTATATAGATAGTAGATGTATTTGAATTTTCTTCCCATTGTAAGCATCCAAAATGTGGTAATTTTTATTCACCTAACCTGTTTATAGTAGAGTGATTGCTGCCAAAACAAAACCTTAATATCCACCCTTATTCTACTGTAGACTCTGGTGCAGAATAAGTTCTACAACTTAATCAAGAGCACCAAGATAATTAATTGTCTAATTAATTAGGTCTAATTAGCTAATTAATTAATTAAAACTGGGTGCATGTGCACACTTTTGTTTTACTAGTTGTGTTCAACTACATTTATATTATTAAATCTAGCTGCATTTACTGTATGTGTACTTCTAATTGTTGGTAGCAAGCAAATGTTTTAATAACAACAGATTTGGGGGAAGAAGAAGGGGTTGTGAAAAGTTGTTTAGTATGTGATATTTATCATTTATGATTGCTTTATTCTCTTGCTAAGCGTCCTGTATTTTTTGACAAAACTTTAGAGGGCAAGTGTAACCAATAAAAATACATTTTCTCCAATTTTACCCCATCAGATGAAGGACTAAACCATGAATGCAAATTGTGCAACCAGACATTTGATTCTCCTGCCAAACTCCAGTGCCATCTAATAGAGCACAGTTTTGAAGGAATGGGAGGGACCTTCAAGTGTCCAGTCTGTTTTACAGGTGAGTACTCTGATAGGACTCATTCATTATGCACCTTGGCTTTAATGGACTCATGTATATTCTTCAGTAATATCATTTATGCCACCCTATTGAAATTGGAATTCTATCTTTCCAACATTACTTTCACAAAATATGTTTTTATCTGATTGGTAGGATGGGATTCGGAGAAAGGATCCTCTTGCTATGTAGCAGATTCTTCTGCTTATTCAAAATGTTGGGGAGAATGGAGGAGTATTTCTGCTAATTTGCCTCCATAACTGCATTCCTGCATGTCACATATTTGGCTGGCTTGGTTCAGTTACAGAGTGAAGAAGGGTATTACTGTTATGTTTCTGGATCACAGTTATCCTTGAAAAACTGATAAACTGCCAAGACTGTTTATTACCTATTGAAAATATGGAGAAAATAAACAGTTAGTTTTTCATATTAACAGTGAGATCTGCAGGAGGCTGTTAATTGAAAACAACCTTACTTTACCTTTTCTTGCCCGAATCTTAATAACTTTGTACCTTATTACTGATTTTTCTTAGAAGCCAGTACATAGTTTAATGTCTGTTTTTAAAATAAGACTTTTTAAAGCAGTATATAATACAGTATTGTGAAAAGAATTTGATATTCTAAGGTGAAAAAAATTCAAGTTTGGTCTAATGCAGGGGTCCCCAACCCCCGGTCCACAGCCTGATACTGGTCCATAGCCTGTTGGGAGCAAGGGGCAGACAAGTGCGCAAAGCTTCATTTGCACATGCTTGGGAGCTAAATTGCGTGCATGAAACCATCCCTTTCCTCACATCACCACCGCTGCTTCTGCTGGTCCATGGAGCCAAAAAGTTTGGGTACCACTGGTCTAGTGTAATTAGGCTAGAAACTAGGAGACCATGAGTTCTAGTCCACCTGAGTCATGAAAGCTACGTGACCTTGGGCCAGTAACTCCCTCAGCCAACTCATCCCACAGGGTTGTTATTGTGAGGAAACTAGGAGAGAAAGGAAAATTAGGTATGTTATTTTTCAAAATAATAAAGGCAGGATATAAATACATACATACATACTGTACATAACAATAGTCTATACATGTTGAGTATGACTATAGTTGGGTATGCATAGCACTGATGTTTCCCCACCAAAATTGGTTATGTTTGTTGCTGAAATAAATGTGTGACTATTTTTGCATCTGCTATGTGCAAGTGGTATCCTGTCATTTATTACCACCAGTGATACCAGTTCAGCGCAATACTCTAAGACAGGTTTATCCAACTCACATGCTGCCCTGGAGAGCTAGTAATTCTTGCCTCCAAGATAATAGTAAACATTAACTATATTATATTTTTATATGCGGCCCACGACAATTCTCTTCACTCAATGCAGCCCAGGCAATCCAAAAGGTTGGACATCATGCTCTAAAACATGATCCTATTGATTGTCAGTTAAATGATCATTGTACCAGTATCATAGACTACCAGGCTGAAACCAGAAAGGGTACTGTCAACAAACTGTATGTGGATTCCTACACCAGACTAAAGAATGTTGATCAAATACATCTAAATGCAACACAAACAACACATGGCTATCTGGGCCCTACAGCTTGCGTGTTGATTCATTATGAGTAGTCAGCATAATGACTTGCAGCTGAGTCACTCTATTGAAATATATGAAAATAAATCTTTCCTGCATAATCACTATATAATGCATGCTGCTGTTACCCAGTGATAAGCATGCATTTGTGACTTTATTCGGTAAATCATAACTGAATACATACTACTCTTTTGATCTAGATCTACTGCATCCTCCAAATTGCCTTACTTTCAGATTATTTTCAGCCTACCCAACAGTCGTCTACTAACTTTTCCTTCTGCAACCAAACTAATCCCGTGCCATTTCTCCTCCCTACAATATTCAGTGCTGCCGGAATCGGGACTCAATCACATATCATTCTAGTGAAAGAAACCCCATCTGTCAGCTTTTTACAGATCCACTTCCTTTATGAGCAGACCTCTTGCACAGTGTGAAATACAAAGACTTTCTGGATGAATCATAACCTAAAACTATAATTGGAAATCTAATACGTTAAGGGCCCCATAAAAACATTTTATTTCTATTTAATAGTAGTAATGCCATTGAACTTTACAATTTAAATATAGTGTCCCGATGTAGGATCTGTTTTCTAAAAGAGTAAAGTCAGCAGTCTGCACAGCTGTATATCATCAATAGGATGCCGTTCAGGATTGTTATTTCTACACTGAGAAGAAACCCCCCAAAATGTTGTTTCTTGTTCTTTGGCAGCACTTTTCCCACTAAAACTGGGACAAGCCTTGCTGCTATTTCTAATTACTGCCTCCTACTTACTAGTTAAACATTTTTCCTCTGTATTATAACATTTAGTTACTTGTGAGCACACAGGTTGCTCTAATAAGGTTTGAAGCTAGTTTTGTGTTCAACAGTGTGCCTGTCACCCATGCTGCTTTGGTAATTCCCACAGTAGAGTTTTTGTTTTGTTTTCCACATTTTCTACATGTAGACAAAAGTCATTAATGTTGAATTTATATGCTATATTTATACCTAAAGTGTGTTGTAGGCAACTTTTAATACCATTTGTGATTCTAGAGTGTAAGTTTTGGCTGTGTAATAAAACATTAGAAAAACAATTCTATTTCTGTTTGTTTCCACGAATAGATTTCCCAAATAACATCAAGAACAACATTTCAGCTAGAGGCTTTGTAAAATGTGTTCAAAGTATTGAAACTCTTATTCCAATATGTATGTTGAGAATAACAACAATTTTTTTTTGCTGATGGGGTAAATAGATACAGCACATTAATGATAGACAATGATGTTTTAGGAGTAATATGCTATTAAATTTATGCAATCTGCAGAATATTAACAAGAACAGAGAATCACCAATATAAATTTTATATGGAATCCAATACTTTTCAACGTAATGAAAAATGTGATTAAAATGTATGACTCATAAGAACCCTGTTCTAATTCTTTCTTTTTTGTTGGCATTCAATTAGAATTATTTTAATGATTAGGAATGGAGTCAAAGTTAAATGCCAGCATCTTTAATAAATCCTTACTCTGCCTATACAAATTAATATTGTATATGCAAACTTTTTTTAGGTCACAGTGCACCAGGCATCCATCAGAAGTCAGTGCTGCCAACCCAAACACTGCCTCTGGCATATACAATTTAATTATTAATACTATGTCTCCTAGGTAAACTGTTACACAGTCTTAGGGCCTTGTTTGTAGTCATTAAAATTGAACATGTTTATATTATTGAAACCTTTGCATTCAGTGTGTACTCAGCGTTGATCTTAAAGTATCCAAAGAGAATTTACTTGTAGTTCTGTTTCACATTTATAGATATTGCCCCAATATAGCTGTGGGATATAATTTTTAACATTAATACATTTCTGTACAGAATTGTTTCAATACATTAACACATTTCAATACAGGATAGAATCAGTTACTTAGGCAAATGCACAAAACAGGCTTTAGAATCTGTTACTTCCAAATTGTTCAGTAGCAAGATTTTTAATGTTGAATTTTAATGGAGTCTGACTTAATTTTAAATTGTTATGGTAAAATGGAAAAAGTACACTTCTAAATGTTTGTGATTTAAGTGTTATTTGATTATGTTTTTACCAGACATATAAGCATGGTTCTTTACAAAGAATAGAAAAGAAAATTAAGACTTGAATGTCGAGCTGAATAATCATGGCTGGTGCCTATTATAGCAACAGTATAATCAGAAATTATAGGGTTCTTTGATAATTGTACCCTTTGCAATTGCTGTGAGTAATGAGGAAATGTTCACCGAAAAAAGTCTCTCAATGTATAACAAAAAGTTCACATTTTTCTTTTTAATGTTTCCAGTATTTGTTCAAGCCAACAAATTGCAGCAACATATTTTTTCAGCCCATGGGCAAGAAGACAAGATCTATGACTGCACACAATGTCCACAGAAGTTCTTCTTTCAAACAGAATTGCAGGTATTTTGCTTTTCCTCTGTTTGCATAGAGGGTGCATAAAATATATTATTCATTAGATACTAATTATTAGCTACATTGCTCCGATGTATTGGTTTCTGTGAAGTTCTACGATGCTTCCTGAGAATAGGGGTAAGGAAAGATGGATCAGAAGAAAAAATATATGTAGTCAGACCACAGAGTGAACCTCTTCAAGTTGTTTCTAAGAACTTTAAAGCATGTAAAGGAGCTATATGATCTGGAAAATATTTTTTGTGTTTTTAACCCCAAACAAATCATTGCATTTTGGAAGTTCTACCAAACTGTTTCTGATCAGCTGCTGTTTGCCAGAAACAAAACCTGAAACATTTTAATTGTTATAGGGTTTCAGTTGTGCTTTTCAGGAGTACTTTTACACATCCTGTGCATCGTCTGGCAATGGCCTGCCCACCTCCTGATCTTGCTTTCAGCTTCCCTTTCCTCCCACGACTGCCTTCCCACAAAACTACTGCCAGGACTGAAGTTTACACGTGCTGTCACTGATGAAAATCCTTATCTTGGCTTTTCATACCACAGGCAGACGATATAATCTGAAATATGCATGTTTTGGTTTGGGCACAGACCTCCCAAAGCCAGCTATTCTGTGCCTAGAATGGTTTGTGCATGGAACATTTTCTACATCCATACTATAGTGTGGATTTTGAAAATCTTGACAGTTCATTTCCATTTCCCTTCTCCAATAAGGATGGTTAGAAAGCTATAGGTTTTAAGTCTCATAAAAAGCAACTGCTGTGTATGTATCAAATTTAAATAACAGCTGTAAATCAGAAACAAAAAAGCCTTACTCATTTCATAGAAAAAGAATTAGCAGTGCTACATCCATAGGTGCCAAACTATCTGCAGGAGACATGGATACTGTCTGTGAATCCCAAAATAGCAACATCTGGAGAATTGCAGGCAAGAATGCCACAATCTCATGAGGTTACACAAGAATCAGGTCATCAGGGTCTCACAAGATTTAACTGTTTCACCAGATACCTACCATATATTTTTTAAAAAATATTTTTGGACAGCCAAATGACTATGTGGTTACACTGTCATTTAAAATACTGTTGATTTCTCCCACTGACATTTTTTGGTACAACGAAGTAGTCCCTGGGCAGCAGTTGGAGTTGCTAATATCTTGACTCCATCCATGAAATCACTTAAAACAAGAACCATTTGTTTCAAGAATTCTGAATTTCATTGTATGAATTTCTAGAGTCCTGAACACAGTACATTGAAAGCTAATATTTAAATTTCTGGGGTTTTAAATTGAGCTGAATATTTAATAATTTTAAATTATTTTAATTGATGTTTGTCTTGTGCTTTTAATAGGCTGTACACCGCCCTGAGTCCTTCAGGAGAAGGGCGGTATAGAAATAAAATTATTATTATTATTATTATTATTATTATTATTATTATTATTATTATATTCTTTGTAGTAGCAGGATAAAATCTGTAATTGCTCACCCTCACAAATAATTCCACATCCTACAAGCAGTTGGTATCATGTAACATTTAGATGTAACTAATTAGATGTAGCCATAAGACAGCGGCAGGAATTTGGAAAGCACATGAGTGACTTGCATGAGAAATATTTAAAGTGCTTGTTTTAAAATGGGTGGACTGCCATCTCTGCTCCAGGAGGACATGGGTGGCACCAGCTAATGTTCCTGACTAACCCTGCACAATATGGCACATGAAGAAGGAAAAAGCTACTAGATAAAAGAGAAAAAGAACCAAATTTAGGGCCTGAACTGCTATAGAAGTATTGAAGGGTCATCACAGGAACAAATTATATAGAATTTAATACGATAAACTGATTTGTTCCTCAGTTAGCGTTTGTTCTCAGTAGCAGGAAGGAGATACAATATGCATCAGTACTGTAACTCAGAGTTGTGATTTTATTGGTATAAGCCCTATCCTCAATTTTGGCTTGACACAATGACTAACTGTGACTACTTTCATAATCTATAGATCTGTTCTGTTCTGGTATACATAAGATCACTTTGTTCCAGCTTCTTACTATATCAATTATATTTATTTGATGGTAAATACAAGTGCAGTGTATTCACACATCCAGCTTAAAGCATTTCATGTGTAAGTTAGTTGGATCAAAATTTTTCTGGAGGTGTAGAATTAAACTGTAGTAATAATTTTGCTAGCTAAATAATAAATATTAAATAATAAATAAATTAATTAATTAAATAAATAAATAAATAAATATTAAAAGTTGGGAAAGGCTTAAAAATACTGTCTTAATTATTATGTTACTCAGTAGTTCTATTAGTCTCATAGCAATTCCCATAGCTTGAATATTTCTGATAGAATTCTTCTTATCAGGATTTCATCTTATTTGGCAGTCTTTTTCTTGAACCTAGAAAAAAGCTTTGTCCTTCATTAAAAGTAATAATGTTGAGTCAGTGCTATTTTGTTGTAAACCCACATTCTGCTTTCAGTGGGATACTATAGAGATTACACTAGAGAGAAATGGAAAGGAAGAAAGTCTAAAGATTATTATGTGAAGATAGGATGCTTTTTTAAAAAAATGTGTAAGTTGTTACTACATAGCAGCTATGGATTTGCTAAGAAAAAAGATTTCTATTTCACCTACTGAAAATTAAGAAAATTGCATATCTAAATTATTGAACTGGATTTTAGCTTCAACAAGCTAGAAATAGTAATGCAGCATTTTTTAAAAAATAAGATGAATGTACCAAATGAGGTAACATTTTGAAACTTATACATTCATAATTTACACATTATAATGGCATACCAATAGATTGATGAATCTAAGTATCTAAAATTGTTATTGTATCACATTTACCTTGATGAAAAATAATCAAATACATCAAAGCTGATAATTATCGATGAAATGATATCTGTTCAAAGAACTATTTTCTATAGCTTTTGAACTAATTTAGCCAAGAAAAACCAGCTTCAACAAAATTAGCAATGTGGCTTCCCATTTCACCTGCAGTTGATTCTATAGGTCCTTGTGGCATGTGTTTGTACTATAAATGTAAATGATAAAACACACATAATCTTAATTCCACCCATTTCTTGCAGTGGAAAATGTGTATTGGAAACTGGTACTAGATTGTGCTATAAAAATGGCTGATAATGTTTTTTGTTCATTAATGTGTGCCTCCAAACAGCCATTGTCCTTGGAAAAGAATTCAATGCAATAGTGGCTTTTAAATGAAAGGAGTTTTAGCACAAGTTTAGCAGAGGCCAGTTTGTTTATAGTTTCCCAGGGTTTTTTTTTCTCCCCTCTCTACATTTATTCCCAACAGATGGTCTAGGGTTCAATGTTTTGTGTATATCACTTCACTCATTGATAGGTGCAGTTTTATCTGTGATTTAGTGAAACACTGAACTGAGCTGACTATAGAATTCCTAATTCTATAGTCTATAGAATTATAGTCTATAGACTATAGGCCTAATAAACCAATATAGGTTAGCATTGCAAACGGAGGTTAGATACAAGAGCTATGAAAATAGTTTAGATATTATCATAAGATGAAAACCATTGTGAAATCATTGCAGTCAAATTTTGGTGATGTTAATGCAGCACATGGTTACTGTTAGTAATTAATTATTCTAGCAAGGACATCTGAAAGGAGCTTTAAAAAGTCAAAATTGTAGTTGCATGTTCAGAGCCCTGGCTTGTGACATGCATTGTGCATTTTTGGGAGAAAAAAAACAAAACTTCACGACAAAAAAGACTTTTATATAGTATAAAAGAAAATGCTATACAATTTCAACTGCTTTGGCTTAAATAGAAGAAGTGTAAATTTGTGTGTATTCCCATCTGTTGGGAATAAATTTAACACTTATCCAATACTGAATAAACTTCTGAAAGAATAGGGAATGTAGCTGTTTATCCTTTATGGTAAAGAAAATATATAATTACTTTTCAAAAGTTAGAAAATGCAGAGAATGAGAATTTAAAACTGTTCAGTAAGGTGATACAGTGCAACAAAAAGTCATGTAAAGGCCAGATTTACAAGTAAAATCCAACAGGTTGGTTTAGGAGAAATGTGCACTAAATTAGAGGTAAGCAATATTTGGCCTCCATATATTATTGAACTGCAATTCCCATTATCCCTTACCATTGTTAATGCAAGTTAGGCCTAACAGAAGCTTCATGATATTAAAAAGATTCTTTTAACTCAGTGGTTTTATGCTAATAATAATAGAATTTAGGGCTTTTACTGAAACTTCTGTTTTGAAAGTATCCAGGAGCACACACACACACACACAAAAAAAACCCACCCACAGCTATTTAGATTTATCCAATACTTTGTTCATTTGTAAGCCCACAATTTTCAATGTTTTATTTGGATATTCTGCAGGCCAACAAGAAGAAAATTTAGAAGAAAATCTGTATTATAGAAAACAGAGCTTGGGTTCACACACTACACTAATTTATAGTTTGGTTTGCTTTGTTTGATCTTAGTGTTTTTAGTGTTTAAAACTTCTTTTTAAATCTCAGGGTATGATCCCAAGAAATTGTGCTTTATTCAACTAGAGATTGCTAAGCAAACTATGGCTTAGTACAGACCGAAAGTACCTGTCATGTCTGTTTTATTGCTGTATTGCATTCTTTATGCAATTTTGATATAAAATCTAAGATCTGCTCTGGGTTTGCCAAAAAAACCTAAACAATTGGAGTGACATTTCAAGTGTACTGCCATTTACAATACTATTGCTATTGAGCTACCACTCATTAGATTGGTAGTTGTTTGCATTTAATTTTAAGACTGACACTACAAAAGCAGTCTGTTCCTAACAAAAGAGATTATAATGGAGTTGAAATCAAGAGTACTGACCACAGTATTGCCTTAACAATTATTGATAAATAACATAAAGACTGGGAACCCTAATCCTAACCCTAACCCTTTTTTTTTTTTGAACAAGTTTTATTTTAAAAAAAATTTTTTACATACATAATTTATGAACAGAGAATTGACCGGGTC